AGAGTGTCAAGAAGCAACACAATTTGTGGCCCCCTTGTCTGCCGTCATGGAAACAAGGATTAGCTTTGCGTTGCTGGTGTGCAGAGAATAGAAACAATCTGCATGAGGATGTGTCAGCTATTGTCTTTTGACTACAGTTTCATTTGAAAGGGATTTTAGAGGCTGTGATCTTAATTAAATCTCAGCTGACTCAAATAATGCATCTGAAGACGTGCACCGTTGCGTAACCGTGTAGAGCTGGTAAACCATAGATCGGGGCACGCAGTTGACCCCAACTGTGATCGTACGTTTCCAGGAAAGGTGAAAACTGTGGTGTGTAGGATGGTATTTGTCACCCTGAATTTGTAAGCCAGGTTTCAGAACTCAGTTGCCTTGTGGCTGTGAAATATACCCTTACAGGTGTGTTTTGAAAGGTCAAAAAGAGTGATGGACATTGGGCCACATGTCAAAATTTAAGGAAGCATTTAGGGCTTTTTTTTTTTTGTTAAAAAAATGATGTCTCTGTTTGGAAATGCTTACTGCATCAGTGTTACCACTTTAACGCTACCAATATTAATACTGATATTTTTTTTGCATGAAATCATCTGGTCATTGATGTTTTATTATAGAATAAAATCATAAATCAATAAAATATATTTTCTGAAATGCAAATAGTACATTATGAATGCTGTACTAAAACACGGTAGTGATGCAAAGGATGGTGGGTCTCTGTTCGTGTGTGTGTGTGTGTGTGTGTGTGTTGGTGGTGAGGGGGGGGGGCAGGTGCCCCGTGTGCTCTCCCCTCAGCAGTGGTCACTTGTAGAGGTGGCTGCCTCCAGTGTGGGAAACAGCATCCAGCTCACAGCTGAGCTGTTATTGTTGGGGTGAGAGCTCACTCACTTCACCGTGCAGTTTGTTTGTTTAAACCCGACACTGGACCCAGCTCCGCGGAAACCTGTTTGTTTGTAGTCGAAAAGTTAATTAAAATGCAATCTTAACTTTTGTTTTTACAGTTGCTGCAAATAATTTGAGCCCCAGCCCCCTCACGCATACACCTAATTTAGAATATATATAGTGTATGGTAAATGGAGACGAAATGTGGCCGTGATTATCCTGTTTATCTGAGCTGTAAACATTTTTAAAACAGCTTGATTGTGGATGAGGAGGAAGGAATTAAGGAGGTCTTAACACTCTCAACTCATGTAGGGATGAGTAGTTCTGTCGTCCTTTAAAAAAATTCTGGGATGCAAAATGTGTTCTTTTTAAACAAAACATCTTTTGTAACAGTTTATATATCAAGATATTATTATTAATATTAATAATCAATTCAAAAATCATTTGTATTTTTATTATTACTATTATGGGAAAAGGTTATCAGTGTGAAAATACTGCGTCTGTTTTTTAGAGGGAAATAAATGCTCTCCACCTCAGAGATTTCAATCAACCTGAATGGGTAATGTGGAATTAGTCTTTCCAGTCTTGCCGACGACTAATTATGTTCACACATCACTTAAGTACAATAGCTCCCGTGAAATCCTCATTTCGGCGACATTTTCATGCAGGAGATCATAGTCAGGATGGGAAGTCGTTTCCTTGCGCCACTGCAGGCCAAGGTAAAACAACAGCATCAAACGGACTACGCTCTGTGATTTCTCTAGGGCTTGTTATTTCTTTTTTACTTCTCCATTCCATTTGATGCCCCTCCAAAACAAGATGACCCTGGGGAGCACAAATGAAAATTTGATAATTCTCTTCTTTTTTTCTTTTTCATTTTTTCTTTCAGCCCAGTTGCACCTTTGCAGCCAGTGAAATGCCTGTGCCGGTCTAACTGACATTCACCTCCTTGTCCCTCATTTCCGTTCCTCTTAATTGCCTCAGTGCCGGGGAAAGGGGCTATCTTACAGCCTCGTTCACCTCTACTCCTTTGACCTCTGACTTGTGAATTGGGGGGGGTGGGTTGCTTTGGGAGCATCTTCATAAACTCTAAAACAGTGACTGTCTATAATAATGTCATGACATATCCCGATCTTTGACAAGAAAGAATATATTTTGTTTAAAATTGGGAAAAATAACATTTAAATGAATAATTGTAATTTGTAATTTGTAATAACTGTTTTGTTCTTTATTTAATACAGGTACATTCTTACTTTGTATGGATAGTATGGTTTTGCTGCTCATATACAGTGTGTTATGGGCTGAATGTGCTGTATGTGCTTGTGACAGTTAACATGCCACAGTGTAGAAACGTGCGTGTGTGTGCTTGTGTTTGGCCAACCGGCCTGTGCTGGTATACATTGCCTCCAGTCACTTTGCAGCTGTGTGAGAATGTTCCAGGTTTGAATGTTTATGTATGGGAGGCACCTGGCGAGCACCACACCTTTGTAGAATTCATAAACGTCAGCTATTTCTGGCATCCTCAGAATGTCCTCTTTTTCACACCCTCATATTGGTAGAGTAGATTAGAGCTGGGCTCAGTGGATCCCTCCAGTTATTAGCCCAGTACGAGGCTCCTTTTAGACTATCTTTAGATGGTAATATATTTTTGTGGATCATCTGGAGTCATGATGTTATCCAAGAGATAAGGGAGTGCACCATATGGGAGAGCTCTAAATGGCGACTGGCGTCCTGTGTTTGCGTTAAATGGGCATGATACAGTGGCCAGGGCAATATTTTTCAGTTAAAGTGCTCCCTCCCGCCCTTCCTCTCAATAGGATCCAGTCTTAGGCAGATTTTCACTCCTTCAGCACAGGATTAAATGGTAGTAGTTACATTGATCAATAGGTTAAGAAGCATACAATCCCTCTTGCTGCTAATGACCTCAGTAGTAATGGGTAATAAAATGGGGGTCTGTAATAGCCTCTTGCTGGGGCTGTGCACAGAGGAAGCTGCTCTAGCTGTAGTTACTGTGAGCCAGACACTCCTGACAAGGCGAAGTGTGAAACCATGATGAGATATACACCCAAGGTGTAAAGAATTAAGACAGTTAAATTGAAGGGAATCTCAGTGTAATTTGTAATGAAATTGGCAGCTATTGAGAGCTGGTTAAGTGTGTAAAATCTCTGTGTTAACTTGGAGTTTGCTCTCCCCTTTTTCATATCACACTCTATATAAATATGGCATGACAAAATGATTATGCATTTGAAAATAAGACAAAATTTACAGCTTTAACACGGTAGTAAAAAATAGAGCATGACAAGTATGGAGTAGATTTTTAATGCATGCAGTTAAAGTAAAGCTTAAGGGGGGGGGGGGCGCATTATTATTTATCCTCGTTGTGCGTGGGGGGTAAATGTCATGTTTAGACGGGAACTATATTTCACATCATGTATGGCGCTTGCATGTCAGCAAGACAGGGTTGCTAGGTTGACCTTCAAAATAGTTCATCAAAATTAGCGATGCCCAGAAAAAAAGGACTTCCGTGGATAATGACTGTGAAATTAGGAAATGGGAGACCGGGGCTATGCAAATGACAGGACAAGTCATGTGCAAAAGTCAAGATGAACTGCATATTAAGACATAATACAGGGGGGAATTAATATTGCATTTTCCTTCTTGCGCTCCTACGCCTGGTGCTGGGGATGAGAAATGTGAAGTGTGTGTTAGTCCTGGGTGGGGCTGAACCTCCTTCCCTCTCTTGGGGCTGGAAGAACGCAGCACAGTGTAGTCTGGCACTGCTCAATAAAGTTAACGGAGAGCATCAAAGCTGGTCTGTCCTATTTGACATCACTGCCCTTTCCTCTGTATTTGCAGTACAAGCTGTTCATTATGACAGCGCTTTGTTTTTGTTATATGCTACGGTGGGGAGAGCCAATAAGGTGATATGCATGCAGGGTGTGCCCCTTAGTTACCGGGCGAGATTTTTAACAGCAAAATTACATTCAGAAATGCATGAAAAATTCAAAGGGTGTCATTAGCTATAAGACGGCCACACAATTTGGGTAACCTTGGTGAAGACAGACTGTCACCCGTTATGTCCTCTCAGCTGCTGACAACAGCCTGAGAGACACAAAGCACATTGTAACACACACATATGCACATCCATACCAACGTATCTGTGCACATACACAAGAGAATGTCGCCTAAACATGTTAACAACTGCAAAGAAGCTGCACTATCAAGTACATCTTAGTTGCTGTTTGTCATCCAAGTGTCAAGGAAAGGAGATTTTAATGGTATTGCACATCATAGTTGTGAGTGGCAGCATCCAGACACACTCGGAGTCCTCTACGCCGCCGGAGCAATTAAGGCACCCTGACAACTGTGGGGGCTCTTTCACTGTCACAACAAATCACTTGTTTTGAGGAGTCATGCTCTCACACCTTTCTACTGGGAGTTAGTTAGAGGCCTGCGTGTTCTTCACCGTGGCCCCTCCTCCAGGCGCTCTACATCTTCACAATAATAGATCGCTGTTGACAGCGTCTCTAATGAAATGTTCTCACATGACATGTCGTGCGTGTGCGATGAGCGAACCGCAGCATTTTTGAGGCAATCTTTCACGTCCTCAGGTATGGCATATTTGCCATGTTGTATACACGGGCGAGCTCTGAGAAGCATCGCGGCCGATGCAGATCATATCAGATGGTGTTGAGGGGTTTTGTGTGAGAGGGGAAGGTCGGAAGATGGAGGATGGGGTGGATATGGTGGCCATTTACTCCACAGGCATGTTCCACGCCTTGCTGTCTTGTGTCCTTTAGCCCACCTCAGTCTGGTGTGGTGTCATAGCGGTTAGAGGGGTTGAAATGTGTGTGTTTGTGTGTTTGTTGGAGGGCATGTGCAGCTTATAACACATCAATTTGACACTTGATGACGCTATCCCTTCCACCTTCATGTTATTCCATATTTGATCAGAGTTTGATCCTTTCACCTATTGCATGTTGGGATGGGCTTTAGCCCGCACGTGACTATTAACAGGACTAAGAGGGTATAGAGGATGGTTTGCTTTTTGTTTCCTGCAGTAATTCTGTATTGTATCAGTGGATTTTGTTTTTACATCTATCTGCTTGTTCTGTGTGTCTGTGCAGGTTCCAGTGTCAGTGGCTATGATGACACCTCAAGTGATAACTCCACAGCAGATGCAGCAGATACTTCAGCAGCAAGTCCTGAGCCCTCAGCAGCTCCAGGTTCTTCTCCAGCAGCAACAGGCCCTCATGTTACAGCAGGTAATGTACACCTGACATTCATGTCATGAATTATTTTGTCAGACAAGGCATAATTTGTTTCAAATAGTGGATGTCTCTGTTTGGAGTTTAAAATAAATATTATGTATAGACAACAGACTGTATATTATTTTTCCCCCAGCCTTAAAGACAACATTCCTCAAAGTATTGGAAATTCTAACAAAACCCAATGCATTTTTTTGCCTTTTCTGCAGCAGCAACTCCAAGAGTTCTACAAAAAGCAGCAGGAACAGCTCCACCTCCAGCTTTTACAGCAGCAGCAGCAGCAGCAGCAACAGCAACAGCAGCAGCATGCAGGCAGCAAGCAGAGCAAAGAGGTAGGCTGACATCACTCCAACTGCCTGCCATTACCAAACCCGTTGGCCAGACAGAGCATGGAAGGCATGTGTGCTCCCTCCCTCAATCCCATCTGCTTCCAGACTGTGGTTAAAGCAGAGAGGAGAGGGGGAAAATCAAGTGCACTCATGCTTCTGATTAGCATGTCACTTGCTAGCTAAATGGTAACAACTGACTGATACTGTGCTAAGAACACAGTGTCTCTTTTTCTGAAGCCATCTCCGCATTAAATTTATATATTTTATAGAGTCTGAGCCTCAGTCCATTGTTCTAGGGTTTTTTTTTCAAGTAAACAAATGTCCTATACAACAAAGAAATGACCGTTCCTGTGAGCCTTGTGTAGGACATAATGAAAGGCAGAAGGGAGAAAGGCAGAAACACGGAGCATATAAATCTGAGAGGCTTTTCTCGGTAATTAACATGGAAATGGCAGAGGAAGAGAAGGCATGTAATTGTGAGATATCAGTGCAGAGAGCGCTCCCAGCTTTGTTGCCTGTGTTGAGATTTTTTTTTTCTCCATCTTTCTTGCTCTCTCTCCTTCGCTCCCTCCAGTACAGCAGGGCTTGCTCATAGGCAGCAGCTTAATGCGTGTTAATGACTGGAGGATACAGGCATCACTGTGGACAAAGCAAATTATTATTGTGCGGTCAGAAGAAGTTCAAAGACAATCTGCACATTTTTGCTCCCGTCCCCAATGAGTTCCATGTTTGGAGAGTAGTGGAAGTATAGAAAATTAAGCCCAATGTTAAAAGCACACCCACACACATATCCACACATGCTCACACGTCCGTGTGCTGTCGAAGCTCCCAACTTCAAAGTCGTAGCTCCCTAATTAATGAACCGCGGGCTTCAGTTTGGACAAGTTGTGGCGTGATGCTCCCATAAATCAACATGACAGCAGGGCTCCTCGGCCTCAGATAGGGCCTGTCACCAAGTCGCATCTGATGTAAACACTAGAGGAGCAAGGGAGAAAAGGGGGGTGGGGGGTGGCAAGGAGGTGCAATTGATCAGTTGAATGGAGCATGAGAATAAAAGAAAAAACAACTTTTGAAGCATATTATGTATGATCACAGGAAATGGATGCAGCCTCGAGAGGCTCTCCCCCTCTGCCGATGTTTTCTTTCTCTCCCCATCGCTCTCTCTTTTTTCAGACGCATTTCTAGCAGCCATCAAAAGACAGAATAAGAATTACGCAGTGACTCCCCTGTGGCTGCCAGACAATAACCCCCTGTTGTTGCTTTGTGCCTCTTTTATTTTAAAGACATCAAAATTTAGTTTTTCAAAGATCTTTAACTTTATATTTGAAGCTTGACAATAAAGGCCTGCCATTGTCACTCTTTATCATTTGTCAGGGACTGTATTTTTCTCTCCCTCGTGCCACTTCTTGTTAACCTCTTATTTGGTCTATTGGGTCTGGGGTTTTTAATGTGTCTGCATGCTGGGAGCGCACAGGAGCTCCTGTCAGCTGATGGGACCAGAAGAAGAAAAAAATGTGAAGGGGAGAGAGTTAAATTCATTTGCAATACTTTTCTTTCTTCCTATTTTTTTCTGAAAAGCCACCCTCCTTTTATTTAGCGTTTTGATGAAAGACATTGTTCCATGTGAAATCCCACCCCCGTAGCACTATTATCTTTGTCTCAGGCTGTCAGGGAGGAGCTGGAGAACACCACTGAAAACCACTGAAGACATGAGAAACTTTTCTCACACCGAGGAGAAAAAAGAACTAGCCACCTTACATAAATAGGACAGATCACAGGCCACCTACTTCCCAAATTTCCCTGAAACCTCTGTGAGATCTCTATCATGTCTCTTTTTTAGCTTTTTTCTCACTTTAGTCTTAGCACATTTAGGGTTAGATCACACATGAGCCTGTGTGGTTACTCCTCACTTATGACTCTCTGCTACCACTGTCAAACCATCTTTTCCCCCTGATTGATCTAATGAGACGACCCTGCTTGCTGTAATAGACCAAGGCAGTCCAGAGCTTTATTTTTAGTGAGTCATTGCAGGGGCAGCAGGCAGGGTGTGGGGCAGGAGGAGGGAGAGGACGGGAAAGGAAGGCCGCTAGACCCTTTTGACAAGCCAAACGGGGGTGGTTGGAGGGGACGCGTTTTATCTGGCTGTTTCAGTGGTTTCAGATCCGCCAGCAAGTGACCTGACAGCCACGTTGCACCGAGACCTTTTTTGTATGCTCTCAATTGTGAGAAGTAAACAAAGTGGTGTATCCTGTGTTTGGTAAAAGGGTGCGGTGCACAGCTTGGCAGCCCCTGCACTGCTTTTAGTGTCCCCTCCTCTCCTCCCACCCACTTGACAACTGGCCTTGTATACTCATAAACATGCCTAATATCCTGTTGAATCTCAGGCAAGCTTATTTTATCCTTATCTATTAGAAAATGCATAAGGTGTCCTGATAGATTGTGTTGTTTAATTGATAATAAACATTTTGGCGAGTTGACTGTGGATTTCTTGAGAGCAGGGATTGATGAAATGGTTAAAAGTAATCTCTCTCCTTTGTGCCCCTGTTATCTAAATAACATCTCTCGTTTGTTTTGACTCATAGGAGATTGGGGATATTAGATCATTTCCTTCTATTTATTATTCTGACTTTGTCTTCCATTCCTTTCCATTTTCTTCTCTACTGTCATATCACTTTTTCATCCTATCAGAGTTCACACGTTTCACTTACCAGAGCCAACATTTTCCCCCTAACCCCTAAAACAGTGAAGGCACACCAGCTTTTCATTAAAAATTCCTTGATGAAAGAGACGTACCACAGTTATATCAACAAAACAGCTATCTCTCAGCCAGTCCACAGTATGTGATTGAACAAAGCTTGCTGCGCTGGCTGGGGAAGAGTGTATCCCTGAGCTCAGCGCCATGCCTGGGAGAGTTGTGAGAGTTGCTAGGGTGGTTATTAAGCACTTTGATTTAGTCACACGTTGTTTGCTGAATTATGAATGGCTGTAATTAAATTCCTGTGGCTCTTATTATGAATGATTAACTATGTTGTTTCATTGTTTGTCATTTGCCTCCCGACTCCTCGTTAATTAAGAGAGAGAGAGATGTATATTGTACCTGTCTTAAGTGGGCCCAGGCAAACCCACAGTAAAGGCAACGTTTATGAAAATTACACTGTGCTTTTGTGTGTTAGCGCACGCAAAATTCATTAACTTTGAGTATTATGAATAAATGTGTTACATTTAACAACCTGAACTATGAACTCTGTGGTCTTGAACTTAAAATGTTTTTCTTCAAAGGAATCCAGTAATGTTGAAACCTGAAATTCAGCTTTACATGTTTGCGGTAGCTGTTATGCTTCTATATGCAGTATGTGTGTGTTTACTGATGGTGTTCCGCTCTATCTTTTTGTGTGTGTGTGTGTGTGTGTGTGTGTACGCCACCAGCAGCAGGTGTCTGCACAGCAGTTGGCCTTTCAGCAGCAGCTCCTGCAGGTCCAGCAGGTCCAGCAGCAGCATCTGCTCAACCTTCAGAGGCAAGGGCTGCTCACAATCCAGCCTGGACAGACCGGCCTGCCACTGCACTCCCTCACTCAGGGTCAGTACCAGATATCACAACACTGTACTGAACTACTATCCTGCAGCTCTTCAAATCCAAACAACATGTCAAAGCAGCAACTCAACTCTTCAACAGCAGCATTCGTGATAACAAAACACTGCAACAAAACTATCTCTTTGGATGATCCAACACCTCTTTTTACCTCCGATTTATAATAATATATTTGGAAGTGGTAAAATTTATTTGCTGGTGTAAACTGAAGATGGACCTGCTGTTGAGACCACATTAGAGTTTGAGTTATAACACAAAAACAATGGCGGTTAGGGTTATGCTAACACATCTGTTTATTGATATATTGGTTAGTTGATTTTGTCCTGTTATTATGGGAGTTGTTCCCTGAACATAACTTGTGACTTTGTTTTTATAAAAAGGAAAATTCTACTTAGAAAACTGTTAATAGCATAGAAAGTATCTGTTGTAGTGTAGCAGGATTTTAATCACCTGTCTGTAAAAGGTAAAGATCTAACACATCTAAAATAGTTTTTATGTGAGCTAGTTTTCACTTGAAATTTTTGGAGTCACATGATCATCATAGAGATGAATGCTGTTTCACTGGCCTTATCCGGCCTCTAACAGTTGTGAGAGAAACATTTGAGTTTTTTGGCACACAGATGGTCCTGTTCATACTGATCTCGGCACAAACTATAAGCAGCATCATTGTGACAATATCAGTATTCCAATGGGTCTTCAAATATCTGAACACCTGGCATCGGAAGTTTTACTTACAAACTATTTTGACATTGCAGCTTATGTAGGTGTATGTCTCTGTACATTCAGAGTAGTCTGATCTGCTAATGTAACTGCTACAATACCTGAACAAATTGACTTAGCCAAAGTGAACAATGCACCACTTCAGTATGTAACCACATACTTTACGTGGTTTCACTGATTCAGGACACACCTACTGTAAATCCTCACTCAACACTTTTAATTTACTAATTCACTAAATGGCATCTCATGTCACTCGTCCAGGACTATTGTTTACAGTGCCATTGCAGTTTGATTCTAGTATGCTACACGTTATTATCATCATAAACCTTAGAAGTAAAGTTACCCCATGGTTCAGAAATGGAGATAGAGTGTGATGTCCTGCTTTGTCCTTGAACTGTCTGTACTGTGTCTGTGATTGGCATCCTGGTGGCAGTCTCCTTCAGCCTGGGCGAAGAGTGGATCTATTGTTCGTAAACTGCCAGTGAACTTGTCATTGTGAAACTGCCTGCTACTTGAAAGTGAGTCAATACTTGTTGTTTGGCCAGGAAGTTTGTTTCTTTATTTACTCTTTTAATATTTTGTTAAGGAGTGGTCGCCTTGTGACAAAGACGCCGTCATAAGGGTTTTAGAACATGACATTGACTATTCATTCCCAGCTAAGACAAACACTTTTGAAATAACAAGATAAGGGCAATAAAAACGGGAGGGTTAGGGGGGTGCTTAGGTAATAGGCAAACACAAACACGGTTTGTACAGTGGTGTTATTGTTTGGACTGGGTATGGAATCACTCATCCACTCGCACACGATTGCCATGGGCACAGGCGTGGAGCGCTGCTGTGTTGTGAGTGTGCTTTGCTGAATTGCTCTGTGTCAGATGTCTGGCAAACACATTCACACCCTTTGAGTAAAGCATTATATGGGTGATATGGCTAGGTCCTGTACTCTTGATGGATTTCACAACAGCCCCAGAACATCCTGTTTATACTGTGCCATCATCAAATACCTATCTTACCAAGAGAGTAAGTGTGTGAATGCTTTGTTAGGGCTGCACGGTTAATTTCATTACAATAGTGATTTAAATTATTATTTGCTTTAATAGGGAGGATCCATGTATCACACCATGTTCCTAATTTTCTTCCTAAGTTGTACAGAGGAAATATTTATGGGAAGAATCCTGAGTCAGAAAATTATAATTTAAATTTTATGAGGAATCTTCTACACTTAACAATATATTGAAATTAATTCTACTCAAAACTGAGGGGATCATTTCTTAAAAGTGGTGTTTGAATCTCCCCATGTACAGTTAGTGTTTGTTTGTTTGTTACGACCAGTCGAACCTGGTTAGTTTGCCCTTGCAATCCATTGATGGTTAACTCTGTGCCTCCGACAGCTGTTACAACACTTAGGCTAGTGCTTCAGGCCCCCAGTTTGTCTTCCTATTCTACACATTTTCTGCTTGACTGTTTGAAGTTATTGATGACCTTTCTGTTTTCCACATCACTAAACTCTTTCATGCATCAGCGGGCCGGGCCTATGGTGCTCAGATCTAATCTGCAATATTCAGCTAGCAGTTAGTACTGCATCGCAAGTGATGAGTTGATCTGCTCTGTTTGGGTCCCAGTGATTATAGATTCAGACTTGGGGGCAGTAAATTGGCATGACTTATTGACTGATGATTTTTATTTCTTTCATTTCAAAATGTAGATATCAGTATTATTATTTTAAAAAGCCACTGTCATCACCGGCAGTCCTCTGTATCCTATGTGCTGAGACAATGAAAGGGACAAAAGGTTTTCAGATAATAGGTCACCGTAGCAGAGTAATTAAAGAAAACTAGGTGTGCAATCTGCAGTTGTTTTTTAGGTACTACGATGCAGTTTATAGCTCATTTTTGCATCACTCTCCTGCTTTGTTACATTGTTGGCTGAGACAGATTGCAGCCACTTTTTTTCTGCCAAAACGATGGACTGAAGGAATGCGTTTGAATTTCCTTTTCAAAAATTTGATAGCACTAATTAAGTATGAACTTGTAGATAGCAGTTTTGAGTGAAAAACAATTGCTCACATTATCTGGAGTATAATTTGTTTCTCTTGTCGTAAATTCTTGTGACATTAATGTTCAAAGTCTTGGAAGCGGCCAGACGGTATCTGTTATAAATTACAACAATGTGTTTGGGGAGGATATAACTCTCATAAATATAAATTTGATCCACCCCCTTCCCCCCTTCTTACAAAAAGCCTGTCCTCTTGACCTGATAAGTGAGTCAGTGGTTGCTCACACTGCTCAAGTGTGTGTGTGTGTGTGTGTGTGTATGTGTGTGTGTTTTCATGTTTATGCATGTGTGTGTGTGTGTGTCACAGAGGTGGGCAGTGTTTGTGCACATCCTGGCTAAATCACCCTCCGAGGTTGCTCTGCAAGAGAGTGAGTTCTTGTGCCTGCACAACATCATTTAAGCTGTCTGGGAGAGGCCAGTGGGACAGTGACAAGACAAATTTGTCGGTAATATGAAAGCAAAGAATGTGGAGAGCCATGAAGTGCTCACAGAACAGCAGCACATCAGGGACAGCGGTGGGTAATACGGCTGACCTGTCAGTGATTGATACATCCAGCAGAGGGCTACTGGTAATAGTTCCAGCAGCATTAGGACAGGATATATTTCAGGCCTAAGGGGTGCATATCAGCAGGCCAATGATTACGGCAACATAAACAGGGGTGCAGTAAAGGTCCCAGCCTGACGGAACAATAAACTAATAGCGATGTCACTGTCCCCCCATGGCACCGGGACTGTGTGAGAAGTAACAGCACGGTTTAAAGAGCCCGGAGCACTGGGGGCCATTTTTTATTTGGGGGATGATGGCCTGCAACTGATGTCATTATGAACCTTAAATCAACTTTCTGCTTGCTTGAACATGGTCACCTGGGTACAGGGGGACAAGGACAGGAAAAGGTTGAAGAGCTCGGCCTGTCTCAGTGCCAGAGCTACCTGCAGAGGTAAAATTGAGTTGGGAGGCCGGTGATCAATCAAGTGTCCCAACAACATACATTTTTTAGAGTGCTTGTCCGTATTTCCCAGTCGTAATGAGTGGAATAGTTGTGTTGAAAAATGGAAAGAGGAAAGATAAACCAATCCAGCATTTAAAGGATGGACAAACTGGAGACCCAAGAAAGAGCATTTACAGATCAATGTCATTATGTGTCCCACAGTAATCAGATGGAGAGAAACTCAATGCATTTTGTTCAAACACAAAATATAATACCCTCTGAGAGATTTGTGCAATGCTATTTAATTGTCATTTATGTGGAATCATGAGCCATAGCTGTTGTTGAGTTTGAAAAGGTTAGGGTTAGATAGGAGCAGAGAGAGGGAAGAGGCGAACAGAGAGCAATAAAACTATGGGCTAGATCCAGAAAGAGACAGCCTGGTCCCACTCCGTTACCTCTCTCATCAGACCGGTCTATCCGCTGCGGTTTCATCTGAGTAAACAGTGGTGTCGGGGTCACCAGGACTGCTGGGTAATTGAGCCAGTGCGGGCCGCCCTGTCAAGCACATCGGCTAAAAATACATCGCCCACTGTCACCGGGCACCAAGTGGGGGGAAAATGATTGTTCCCGCTGTCGGAGCGCAGGACACTCGCATCACCAGTGACCTTCCGCTTCCAAACTAGCGATCACAGGGGAAAAAAAGAAACAAAAACAACTTTTGCTCTTAAGTCTCCTTATTTCATCAAACCAACAATGGAGCCTTTGATAATGTAACCGGACGTCAGCAAGCTGTGGATTAGCATGCTGTAACACAGAGCGCAATGTTAAGCATGTTTAGCCTGTCATGGACGTGCACTTCGATTAGGGCACATCAAGGCATTGAAGAGAATAAGATAGAATACAGGCAGGCAGAATAGAGCGAGGGGTGCTGAAATGTTCGAATGAGGAAAGACGCCCCTTGGAACGTGGAAAGGTTATTGATTTGTCCTGTAATCATTTCCTGCTCTTTGATATGCAAACGATCTAGTGTGAATTTACAGCAATCCTATCAGACTCATTTCACAGTTCTTAGCCCCGCGTCTCTCTGGAGTCCTCCGCCTCATTAGGCCAATGTTCTCCATTACCAGCATAATTAAAATCTTTAGTAGCTTATCAAATTAAAAATATTTTTGCTGATCGTATTGAGATCTTCACCTCACAGTTATTTTCCACAACAGGAATAAATTAAGACTAAGCATTTTGCGCACAATGTATTACAATCTGGTGCTTGAAAGGAGCACTTCTGGTATCTATAGAGCTGGTGATGAGAAACCGGCAGGGAGGGGGATCCGGAGAATATAAACCCAACTAGATAAGCATGTGCAAATCATCTTTCATTTGCCAGTACTCATTTTGAGAATGGATTTAATTAATTGTAATGTTAAACGAGCGGTCTTGGCCATTTGCTCTGTGGTTAAATTCACCACACATCCAAGGGCTTCTTTCACCATGCTTAAAACATGTGGCTTATATAAGCACAGATTTGAATACCCAATACAAAGCCACACATCCTCCCCTATTAGATATTTCCGTATGCTATTAAAATCATGGTTACCCAGATGCAGTATGTTTTGACTGAAAATATAAATAGCCAAATATCCTGCATCCATGAAGCTTAATCGTGTTTTACACATCAGCTTTATCCTCATTTGTGCAAAATGAAAGCACAGTAACAGACACACCGTAGATGGACACATATGTATATTGTGTGCCAACAAAGGCTCTCTTCTCTCAGACACAGAAAGTGGGGTGCACAAATACAGCATTATCCTTCTTCATCCCGACTCCGGCCCTGGGTGTCGGGATTGCTGTCACTCATAGGCAGAAAAAACTCACGCACTCTGTAGATGTGTTTCCAGCACACAGAAAAATGTCTTCTGTCTTCAAGGGATTTTTTTTTTTCAAAGGGCTGTGTGAGCTGCAGTGTGCTTGACTTGTTAAATGAGGTTTAAGTCGTCTGTGTCAATTGGAGGCGGTGCAGAGCTTTAAGTATTTTGCACATTAATGCGCTTTTGAGAATATTACCCCAGGGTCCTGTTTCTCAAGGAGGCAGGGGTGGGATGTTTTCTAGTGTTGCTATTGTAAACTTTTTGTTGTGTATGTTCTGCACATCTCTGTTGTTGAGAGAAAATGATGGTGATTATTCAGATTTCATGCCATGTCTGGATGTTAATTATTTACTCTGGGCATGAAATTTGCGTGAATGCCAGGGATTTGTGTATACAAACACGCTTCAGATCACAGGAAAAAATGGGAGGGAGTGAAGGAGGTGGCAGAGATACGGGTGCAGGCAAGAGCTCTCAGTGCATTACCCTGTAGTGGAATATTTTCTAATTAATACTCGGCTTTGTTTACAGGCGCTTTGATTTAATTAAGCGATGAAGAAGAGTTGGATTAGCTGTTAATTGATTTAATTATCCAATTTGTTTGTCTCAGGCATGATTCCAGCAGAGCTGCAGCAACTGTGGAAGGAGGTGACAAATGCTCACGTGAAGGAGGAGCACAACAACAGCAGCAACAACGGCCACCGGGGCCTTGACCTGTCATCCCCGGCCCTGCCAAAGAACCCACTCCTCAACCAGCATGCCTCCACCAACGGGCAGTACATGAGTCACAAGAGAGAAGGGTGAGTCCCTCCCTCTGCAAGGTCTTTTAGATATTTCTAGTTTTCACTTCTTTTATTTGCATGTGTCTTACATCTTTTGTGTGCTCTCACAATGAGAACATGGGTCAGCGAAGACACACAAGCTTAAAATTAAGTTTTTCAAAGCACTGTTCCTTATGTCACCTACAACTGGTAATTAAACTGGTGAAATAGTCTTCACTGCCATCATTGTGTAAAGCAAACAGAAGGCCCATGTGACATATATTCCCATTTAAAATAGCAATTTCTCACAGGGCCTCGGTTGATGGAAGTGTCCCTATAGGTTTTGCATAGAGATTACTATTAATTTATAGTAAGGCCACTTTTCTATGTGTCTGGATGCAGCTGGGGAACACCTGGAAGGAATACAGGGATTTGGAGAAATGTGCAGGCAGTCAAAATGGGATCACTAAACTATTAATAAAGGGGTCAGGGTATTGACCCCCTTCTGCTATTGTTTTAATTGCACATTGGGAAGTGCAGCTGGGACGTCAGTTGGATTTCTTGAAAACATTTAGGTTACCAGTATCTTTTCTAAAAGAAAAAAACACGTCTTGCATACTGGGAACTTGTTGACATGTAGAATTGGCCTGATCACCACCTGCCAGTACAGGAATAAAAAAAAACATAATAAGAACAACAAGCTATTATATGCTAGAAAAAACAAACCCTGGGTGTATCATATTTTCAAAACCAGGATGAATCATGTATGAAATGTGTTTGCCCTCTGAGCTATGTCTGTGTCTTTAAGGAAGGAATTAATTTGGCATCTTACACATTTGCTTGTTTTCTTGCACCAAAAGCCTGATCTTTGAACTGCTAGTGAGGAGCCTCCAGGCACCATGAGCTCACTGCATAACATCTGACTTGTGTTTCAGTGATCAAAACCTACGCGTCATTATGAAAGCAATGCAGATGAAGACATGTTTAGCACAGTAAACCAGCAGGCCGTTGGAGGTGAATCGGGGCTGCTGGGAGCGCAGAGAGGATCTGAGTGACTTTGAGAGGAAATACTATGATTCACTGATGGAGAGATACAAATGGAAAGCAGCTATTTCTTTTCATGCAGTGGTATCGGTTTTAAAGAGATTAATATTACCTGTACAGACTTATCCTCTTTAGTGTGTTTCAAAGTTATCTTCCAGCACAGACACTGGAGAAAAATCAAATAACAAATGGGCATTAGTTGCTCCCACAGTTGACAGTATCCACAGGCTTCCAGTCCTTCATCCAGTGTCTGGCTGAATGTCTGTTTTTGTGTAGTTAAAGACAAATCGCAGGGGAGGATATTGACTCGCTCACTCCATCACACTTTGTCGCAAGCGAGCAAACAAGGTGAGCATCGATGGCAGGAAAAGGCAAGAACTAGCCTCAGCTGAGGGCTCCATGAAACATCGGAGAAGACATAACGCAAGAGCTGGCAGCCCCTCTGCCTCGCGCTGACTTTCAGAGATTAAAGAAGATGTCAACAGCAGTTTAACACAAGCTTAAGTGAAGAAGGCAGTCTCAGTCTGAATATTCTCGCAGTATCTTAGATCTGTCAGAAAACCAAGCAGGTGATTCTCATCCAGCCCATCTGCTTGAGGAAGCTGTGGATTACCTACCCAGAGTTTCAGTGTGAAATTACTAAGAATAGACGACTGATACAAAAGTGAACACAAAACATTCCTTATTAAATGCTGAATGATGCTAATTTAGATTCACACCACCAATAATCCTTTCTTGTGTTCATTTTGGAATCGCACAACTATCAAGAGCATTGTTCCTCTCTTTTGATGATGCAGACTCAATTCTAATCAGACTCCATGGTAAGAAAAATGAAATATTATTAAGTATGATTATTCTAAGCAAGGCTCTGAGAAAACGTCTGCGTTATAATCCAGGGATTTGAATAATCAGGTTGAAGATAATGGGCTGGGCCGGCTGGGTGTAAATAGAGAGCATCTACTCATCCTCCCAGTGCTGAACTTAATGAACTTTTAATTGATGCGGTTTTGCAAGTCCTTTTGTCATGCAACAGAAACAAGCCTCTCTGCTGATGGGCCTGTTTTCCCGACTGGCTTCAGATTGGTTTACAGCAGGCCCTAAGTACCATGTAGTTAGTTTCATGTGTCATATAAAATCTGCCCAGGCACAACGACGCCTGCAACTAAAACCTTAAGTGCATCCACAGGAATCACTCACCGGCTTTGCACTTCCGTCTTAAGGAAGGAGGAGAAATTCAATCACTGCCGGCTTGACACACCAAAGATGAGGCACGTGTTCCTGCTTTTACTTGTCTCAAAGATCACTCTAGCAAGGCAGGCTGGGATTTCTGTTTGACTGGATAACATCCCTGATATGACCAGGTCCTGAGTCACTCAATCTGTCAGCCTGTGTTGTTCCCAGCCCGCAATCTGTGATGCATAGATTGAGATATACCCCTGTGAGCCGGGTCATCTTTATTCAATGATTTGCTTATTTAAATGAAATGTGCTTGATCTGTATCTGACACAAATTCCCAATACAATGCTGCATCAGCTTTGTAAGGGGGAGCATCCTCACAAAGCGCTTGGCCCACTTTACTTCCCAACAACCATCAGTAACCACAGCTCGGGGACTGTAACACAGCAATCTGTTAAGGAGATAAATAATCAGATTTGGCACAGAACTCACATCACTCCTGCCTTTCATTTGTCTTACACCAGAATAAAAGATAATTAAATCATTTAGGGTAAACCATGCAGTGGCACAGAGACAGGAGGAAAGGATCGAGTTTAGGGCCTAGAGAGTTAAAAAGTGGGGAGGGTAGCGGGTATGGGTGGAGGACTGAGGGGGAGGACACAAGGGAATAGGCTAACATTAGAACCAACAGTGAGTGTTGTGATTGGCTTCACACACTGTGGCCAGACTCTGACCTAGCATGGTGGACATCAATCTTCCCACTTTTGCTGATAGATTGAGTCCATCAGCACACGATGCCATAGATCATGACTTGTTTATGGCCCAAAGCATCTCATCAAAAGAAGCGAGCTAGAAAACAACTGGCTAGCAGCTGTCAAAGTCATCTTAGTGTGCAGTTCCTCCTGTCTGTGTACACATAAACACAGCGCAACACCTGGAAGGTTCGCACACTTTCTGTCCGGGTCTATAGGCACTTTAATGTTCCTTCTCCTCTAAAGAGAGCTGATGACACAGTTTTCCTCATCGCTGTTACAAGATCATTAGAGTGTTCTTCCCCCGGGCTGCCTGACAATAATATCATCCTGACAGACCTGTCGTGGGTGCAAGTCAAATTTAACGCAACGCAGGGAACTGCAACACAGTTTCCTTTTTTCCCCCCCTTCAACGTGTTCTCAAATGGGAGAAAACTCCATGAATCCTACACTCTTCTCCTATTACACTAATGTAGCTCATTTGGTGTAAATTCTGTCATTTACTACTGTTTAGCCATCCACCGTTTAAAAGGGCTCTTCTGCCGCCAGCCCCTTACAACGCATTGTGCTCACTGATTCCCAGCGCACTCCACATTTCAATATCTTATTAATACAGAATTAACCAACAAGCCTGCTCGCAAAGAATTAAAAAAGGATCCCTTTAAATTAAAAACCAGCGTTACCTTCACCAGTCCACACATTTCCTTGTTAAAAACTCATTATAATAGGTCTTCCGCCATCTATTTATTAGCTGTATCAAAACAGAGGTCTTAATGTGAATGCATAATTCATAATTGAATAAAAAAAATTCTGACTTTTGAAAGGGGGGAGAAAGAAAGCTGCTAACTACATTCAGGAATGCTTGACTGCTTCCTAATTGCAATGCAATTATCACATGTTATGAACAATGTGAACTCTGAAGCAAGTAATTATAACACAAGGAAACCTGCGACGACCTTAAAAATTTCCTACTTGAGGTACAGCTTTACTAACATTGATACAAATGAGATTTTAATCTGAACATCAGCTTGTTTAATCCTGCAAAATTGGCACACCATGGTTAGATTACTTTCTTTTTTTACTAATTCATTTTTACATCAATTTTTAAATCATAGCAGGCGGATGATTGGCTAAGCAATGCAAAATGTTATTTTCAGTATTTGTTTTTCCTCTCTATCCTTAAAGACATCCCCTGAAGTAGTTGTATTAGACATGATCTCTTATTGAATATATGAATGAGATTTTAGTAGTTGGAGTTATTCCCACATGGCAACACAGCAGTTTGTGGTGTAATGAATCTCCCTATCTGGCTTGTTGTCTTAGAGAGCAGGGATCAGACTGGAGGAGAAGCAGCAGCGTTGCGCTCACGAGCCACCAGAAGCACAGGTGGTAGCGATATAGGCCAGTCCCCCAGGCTCTTGTAGCTGAAAGTTGTGTGTCTTGTATAGCGCCTGTATCCATATGGCTGCCTGTCTCGCTCTCTTAGCAGACACTGCCTCCACACAGGCCGCTTTCTCTCAACGCTGAATGTGGTTAGCTGTGATTCTACGCCTCTTGCCATATGGAAGATGTTGTAAAGTTTGTTTTTCAGGGATGTTCCCGCTATTTAGACTGATTGTACGAAGCCATACGCTCCCCATAGATGCGTGCTTGTCAGCCCCTTGTGACATGGATTGGTCAGTAGATAAATTGATTCCAGGCGGGGATGTTTACAGTTTGTGTGAAAGTGCCTGATGCGTTTGGGGGTTTCATGTTGTGGTACACGCTCCTCCTGGTGTGCTCTGGGACATGATGCAGCAGGCACCGCAGGAAAAGCAGTGACTGAGGGAGCCCCCTAGCAGTCTGATCAAAGTGAATAGCAACATGGCTCAGTGATAAATAATTACATATTGATTTGGTTGTGCTTTCACACCACGAGTAACCACTTTTAAGAGAAGAACAAGCAGAGATCACAAAGGTCTCTACACAGACCAAGGTTCACAGATCAAGTTGAAGTCAACGTTTTCATGTGGAAACAACATACAATACACACAGGCAGGTACTAACCGGCTTAAAAGAAGAAACCATGTTCTGTTACCCCTCGTCAAGTAATATGACCACAGGCCTGTAACTGTGATTGTGTTCCAGAAAATCTGTTGTTATTATTAACCGTCTCTCTTTCTGTAAATTCCTCTTTTAGATCCACACTAGAAGAACCTTCCCACCACAGCCACCCTCTCTATGGTCATGGGGTTTGCAAGTGGCCTGGATGTGAGGCAGTGTTTGATGATTTCCAGTCATTCCTCAAGTAAGTAAAAGTCGTAGTCAGAGGTGCGTTTCTATCACAAATTGTTTGTACTGGTGTTGGGTCGAGTACAAGTTTTGTGACCCCCGGCGACTCAGAGGCACCACATGTGTAGCTGGTCGTTATTCCTGAGTGTGGGCGCTTGGGTTGGCACTCTCTTGACAAGGGTACTGTGGCGGGGTCTCCTTCTGAGAACGGCATGGGCCTCTAATTCCTGTGATAAGTGCAGTTCCCATGGTGACAGGAGCCGTTTTTCCCAAACAAACAACGGTAGGATGTTTATCTGTGGCAGCCCTCACTTAGGGCGCTCTGCATGTTTGCCCTTGTCGCTGGACAAGGGGATTGGTTTGTGTGTCTTTGACTGCCTTTCTCTGCTCTTTCTGTCTTTTCTCAGTGGTTTATTTGTCTTTCCCTCTGCTTTCTCATGCTTTACTTCTTTTTCGTTTTTTTGGTTTAGTGTGTTGCGTATTTTATCTAAGGCGCACACCTCAACACCATGTTAAAATGAGCCATGTATACTGTACTGTAAAGAGCTCCAGCTAATTCAGCATCACCTGCTGTGTAGCATCTTTCCACTGTGAACTGTGTAACAGGTTTGACCCTGTCCAGCCTGACACAGGCCTTTGTTTTGCACCATGCTTCCCCATCTGAGTCAGAACCTGGTTTACTAATCAGCCCTGTGTGCAGCGCGCTCTAGGTAATCCAACACATAACAGCGCCATGGTTACGGAGAGGACGAAAACATCTGCATTGTGGCAGTAGATCAATGGCTCACTGTCACCCTGGATTAGTCGCACTTTAAACAAGATATGACACAGTTTCATTATCCTAAAACAAGCACTCAGCGAACACACAGGAGAGAAAGGTGCCTCGGAGAGACACCTCACAGGCAGCTGAAAGTTTTGACTGCCTTCATCAACATTTTGAATCCTCTTTTCGTTTTTCGATCGTTTACTTAAATCCACTCGATTGCAGTTTGCTATAGAAAAGCTAATCACACTAGATTGTTTGGTAGCACAGTACCGTTTCTGTGCAAGATGAAAACATAGGCAATTATATATTTTTATTTTTATTAAATAAACTTCCTTGACACGTAGTTATTAAACTATGTATTGCACACCCACACTTTCACACTTAGACACATATTTCAGCTTTGGGAGTGTCCCCTTAAATCCATCACTATTTATTGTATTCTGACATTGCCTCACCCTTTGTTTATAGTAGAGAGGGGAATTAAATTCAGTGTACCCGGTAGAGCTCTCCCTTCAAATGTCTCTAAGTGCACTCTGCTATGTTTTTACAAGTGTTTTTATCATGGCAACATCTTGTTTACTTTAGTTGCCTGCTCAAACTGCTTGGAACATGTTAAGAAAACATTTGGGGAGAGTCTCCACAAAGCTGCCTTTGTTTAACAGCAGGCAAGAGTACGAGCAGCTCACTGAGGTGTTAACTCTCAAACCCTTAAGCACTTCCACATGAAACCCAGCAACTAATACTGTGGGCCTCAAAAAACAATCAAAAATATAAATGAAGAATACACCAGGCAGTGCTCTCCAAAGGTTGGGGGAAATGTTGAAAATAAAAGTGAAGGGGTGTGTGTGTGTGTGTGTGTGTGTGTGTGTGTGTGTGTGTGTGTGTGTGTGTGTGTAGTCAGCAGAACACAGTGTTCTGTGTACCAGTGAGAAAGAAAGGTGAGGAGGACTCTAACGTCAACCAGATTTTAGCTCCACATGCCAACATTAACAACTAACACCGGACTGAAATGTTGTTTTAAACTGTGTGTGTATCTTTTAAAGAAAACATTACATACCTACACACACTGTCTTGATAAATACAAAGCACCAAATCCCTGTTCCTGTTTTCGGGTTCAGCACACAGAAGGGCAGGGTGGGGTTCATAGCGGAGCCTGGTGTTTTTATGAGGGTCAAGACCCTTCTCTTCGATGTCCAGTCAGAGGTCAGAACCAGTGAAACAACTGCAGTGCCCTCTAGTGCTGCACTGTCTGCCTGCTAAAACCACAAAGACTCATCTCTCACACCTCAAGATAACATAGTAAATGTTTTGTAAGTTACGCAGCCTTGTACCACTGAACAAAAAACACAAATAAGCCAAATAACATAATGTAAAATAAAATAAGAATAAGATATGTTAAAATAACTGAAGAAGTAGATTAAATAAATGATTTTAATACTAAATACTACATTTAATACTTAATAATACATAATACTGTATATAATTAAATAATTAGAAATGTGCATAAACAAGTTTTAATACATTTTAAATGTAACTACTACTGTAAAGATGTGTGATTTAATTTAAATTCCACCAAACAGTGAAAATGAAAAACCTTTCTCAGAGACAGGCTTAAGCTCTGGGTCCAGTCTACATAATCAGCAATTGTAAAAAAAAAAATTAAAAAAATAGTAGGCAAACTAACTGATATGTAAAAAGCACACTGTTACGGGAATGTCTATTTAACTTGTTTTATTGTGGCAATTTACATTAGGGACTGTCATCCTGCCAGAGAGCTTTTAAAAGTGGCTTCATTTGAAGTCCAGAAAGTGACACATGCCAACGCTCATAGTCTCTCTCGATGTCAATTCCCTGTATCCCCTGCTCCCGTGTCCAGACACTCCTCTCAAGGCTGCATTAGGGCCATTTGAATATTTCATTTCCTATTAATTATGCACTGTGACTCTCCATGTCATTAGAAGAAATAAAGTGGAATGTAACAAAGGATGAAAAGAAGCAGGGCACATGTCTCCTATGAACAGAGAAATTCCAAAGCTGCTCACGTAGGCCACCCTTCATTGAAAATTCAGTCTGTGCCAGTTAAATTGAAGTTGAAACGTCTTTACCTATTATTTTCTTCTTTGAAATCTAGTAAGATGTCCTGAAATGTTTACCAGTTTCATTTTCCGACCTACTTAATTAAATGGGCATTTATTTGACTCAAACAAATGGAAAGCCCAGAGAAGTCTGAATTGATTTCAGCACAGAGGGTTATTGCCCACGCTTTCTTTAAATATGCCTTTTTAATTTCTTTTTCTCGCCATAATAATTAACTTCAAGTGCTGAATGTATATCACAGTCATTTTGAAAAATGTATTATCAAAACACAATAGGAGGGCCTGAATGAGAGAAGAGACCACATTTCCTCTAAAGATTTAAATCATTCACCTCAAGGTTGAAAATACCGCAGCTGAACAGAAACCTTCACATTTCAAGCAGAGCACTATCAATTTTCCTTCCCTTCACATGTGTCTGTTTTCTGAGTGTCTGTGTGGTGTTTAATGCACAAATGGGTTGCTTGTACATAAAGCAATGGCATCAAATTTATCGGGCTATCATAACGCCAGTGCTGCCACTGTCCCTTCATAGGTTGACTCTGGCTATTTTTGATTTGCAGTAAATGACAGAAAAAGTGCATTTGAAAAGGCAGGCACGTTGCACGCCCCTCTCCCATCTGCCGCCGCCGCCACTGTGTGCACACAGACATGCCTGGTGACAGTGACCTACATGGTCACCGAAGATGTGATATAATTTATGATATATATAATATATTGGATCCATTAGCGAGCATAATGAAGTAGTGAAATGAAAGGGTATTTGTGAAATCAGTTCAAACATCCTGCTCGGATTATGATTAAATGATTAATGAAATGCCCCTGCATAAGCATTTTCAAACAGTAATTCATGCGGCGGCTGATAAAATTCCTCCAATCATATTTCCTTCACTCGTGAACCTTATCTCCACCATTTTATATAAATCACAGAAAAAACCCTGTCTGCTACATGGCGAGCTACTTATTTAGATTAGTTATAAACGTAGAGGAAAAGAGAACATCTTCCCTGTGTAAAATAATCATGCATAATTAGATCCATAATTCAAGTTTGTGACAGATCCCATCTCCTCGTCCTGTTGTCCTCTGCATTTGGTCTGGCTTTATTTGAATTCTCTTAATTTTAATGGCACAATTAACAGAAAAAACACCAAAAAGGGAAAATACAACAAGGATTAAAGGGAAGCTGGAATGAGAAGAAATGGTACTAGGTCACTAGTGCATAATTTAGCAAAAGTAGTCCAACCTGAAATTCTTCAATCAGTCCTCTTATCTGTGAGCTGTAGTTAGAGCAGACCGGACTGTCATGAAATACTGAGTGTCGCTCTTGCGTGTTAAAAGAAGTATTCTTCTGGTCCTGCAGATTTTGTTTGTGTGCTCTTTGCGATATGTTAGTTTTATGTTGAAGCTCTGCTAACCTAAATGTTACCACATCTTTTCTATTATGCTTTATCAGATTACATCATTAAACCACGCATCACAGGATGTTTGTTTCTTATATCTAAAAGGCTGCAGAAGGCAAAAAGTCAAAGTGACACCAGCTTTTTTTGTGTGTGTTCTGTTTTTTGTTTTCCAGGCATCTTAACAATGAGCACGCACTGGATGACAGGAGCACGGCCCAGTGTCGGGTGCAAATGCAGGTCGTACAACAGCTGGAGCTGCAGGTATTGTCTCTCAGTTTGTTTTGGCCCAAATATTTATGTGTCTTCTTCTCCTGACACTTCCTCAGTGTCTGCCGTACCCCTCCCTGTCCGTCTGATATCAGCCATGGGGTCACTCATGGAGGGGGGGGCAGCAGAATGAAATCATTTTGTACATTTGCAAGTAATCAGTCATTAAAAATGTGTTATGTATGCATGACAGCCAGGGAAAGATATATGAAGGGCCCGGGGCTAAGTAGAGAAGATAATTACATTTTGAATTTTACTGGGTTTTAAAGTTATTTATGACTTTTAACTGTTTGGCACCAACAATAAAACACTTGGTGAAATGACTCGGCAGCATAGTGTGGATAGGTGCTGGGGTGACTTAAAGGAAAACAGCCCACCACAGAAAACTTAATCAGTGGTTTTACAATTTCCCCTGTGTGTGATCTTTCATTGTCTTTTTCTGCAAGAAAGAAAAATGTGAATATTAAGAATGCACTTATAGAAAAAGACATGGTTCACCATCTTTCCTTTGGGGGGAGGGGATGGCGGGGTGGCAGTATAATGGCCAGTGTGTCATATGTGTATCTGTGTGTGGGTGGTGGTGAGTTAAATGGTGAACATGGCCAGGTTTCACTTATTATTATTATAAAACCAACCATTCTAATAAACTGTATTTGTATTAATTAGCTTCTGCTACAGTTGCAAAGCAAATACAGCCAGGATCAAATGTAATGCATTCCAGATTGTATGCAGCAGTCTCTTGTGGTTCACATATTAGCCATGTAATACCCCAAAAATGACAGATAATGAGTATAAAACAGTTGTGGTTTACAGAATGTTAACTTTAAACAATGAGAGTTCAGTTGCTCAAACATTATACCAAACCGACGTCCTGTTATTTCCGCTCTCGTGGTGTATTTACCAGAGAGATGGAGCAAAGGTTTATCAGACACAGACTTCCTCTGCATGCAGCCTATCACCATAATTTAAGTTGGCAGCTAAGACAGCGCTGAGTCTTAGACAGGTAGAAAGGGCCTGGGCTTGTTATTGGCAATGAGACGCAGTCTCTTTTAACCTTGAATTGGACACAGTAGTTAGATTGTCTGAAGTGCAGAGTTGTTGACATTTTGAAGCATTTTGAAAACAAATAATTGATAGTCTATTTGTTTAAACACACTTACTGTTAAAAAAGAAATAAAGTGTTTATTGCAAAGGGATGTATGGAATTAATAATATATTATTGTAATATATTTTCCTTTTGTCTTTCCTCATTACAGCTAGCTAAAGACAAAGAGCGTCTGCAAGCTATGATGACGCACCTTCATGTCAAGTCCACAGAGCCCAAAGCCACCCCACAGCCGGTGAGCAGCAAGCATGTCATACATCTCTCTCTCGTCCCTCCCCCATGCTTTTGTTTGTCTTAATTGGCACACATGTATTCATTAATCCCTTCCTCCATCTTCTTATTTATCTACTAAATAAAAACAGCTGTTCTCTTGAGGGAGGCAGTAAATATTGTTTGGACCACATCTGCTGACATCCGAGATTCAATTTGGTGTCTGTGATGAACTGGAAGCACACTCTGTAACAGCGCCCATCTCAGCCTCAGAGAACCAGTGCCTGTTTGGGCAGACAGAGAAGATGAGAAATACAGTGATAATAACTGACATTATATTTTATAAATAGATCAAATGTAACGAGTATTTTCAGTGCTTTTAAAAGCAAAAAAAGAAGAAAAAGGATTGTTAAAATTAAACAAGACTAACAATTGCAATATATTAAAATTGTGATATTTCAAGTAAGGGATTAAAATAAGATACCACTGATTGTTTGATACGTAGCTATAAGATTTTGCTTACTAATGTTGAAAGAAAGGTTGAGTGTCATTCCAAAATTTATGATAATAGATGCTTCCCTGAGGACATCCTTATTTAGGTTTAAACATTTGTCAAGAATTACTCTCAGCCATTTTTAAAGTAATTAGTAAAATTGACAAAGGCTAATCTTGGTACAAGGTATACTTTATCTTGGCCAAGCATTCAGACAAAACAAGAGTTTTCTTGTGTGGAAATGTACCAGTTTTTATGCACCTACACCTAGCAGCATTTTTCACATTAGATCAAGTTGTATTTTTAACTTAAATATTGTTTGAGTTGAGTTTGGCATCAAAGTCAACAACAGAATGAAGGCGATTTTTAAATCTTGCAGTATGAGAAATGTTTTACTGGTGACTCACCTAAGTTTTCTGCAAGTGAATAGCTGAAATCTTGATTAAATGTAACAGCAGATGAATATATTATCTACTTGACACATTCCAGACACCGTGCTTATCACTCTTAATATGTGCCATGCCATAAAGCCTACTGCTTAATCCCTATCCTATAGGGGCAAGGGCTTAACATATGGCATTTAAGTGTCTGCGCTATTTTGTCATGTTTAAGAAGGGGCCTCACCACCATATTTCAGTCTGCATGACAGTTCATTCGAAGAGCCAAATGTGGAAACATCATTTTACTGCAGGGCGTGAATCTGAAACCACGCACACACACATACACGAGCACACAGATGCACAAAATACATGCAGGAGTATTGTCTCACAGCACACTGCAGCTTGGATCATTTATTTACAGTCAGAGAAGCGGCTATTGACGTGTAGAGGCTGCATGTGCGCTCCACACAGCGCAGCCAGTCAACATAAATACGCCTGGAGATGTCGAACGACAATAGGCTGTCTGTTAAAGCTGCGCCTGTGTCACACACACTGATTGTGTAGATTAGAGTGCAAAACGAGAGCTCTGACACAGGGACATTTGTATATGAAAAGTGGTAGGGGCGGCAGATAACATCTTGAGTTCACTACCTCTCCTCTCTCTCCCGGGGCCTGTGAGAATGGCTGTGTCAGAGCTCAGCGTTAACACTCTCAAGGGGGCAAGCTGGGATTTTTATTCAAATAAATAGACTCCCATTCTCCAGCACCACTTTGCCTGCTGCGAGCTGCTCTGAAATGCTATGATAAATATGTCTGGCTTCGGCTGGGTGAGTGGTGGACTTACACAGGTCAGGGCCCATAGCCCTCACTGAGGCTTTAGTGAGATTGCAGCATCAGAGGTGGCCACCAAAAAAACCCTCCTTTGAGCAGATACAGAATGAAAGTATTCTCAGAGCTGACTTGAAAAAAAAAACTGCCACTCTGAAGAAACAATTGTGTTCTTTCAGTAATTGCCAGTTATGCTTTTCTGCTGTTCTGTACAGTTGCATATAATAAAGGCATGTTATAAGTAGCCAACTGTCACAGGAAAGTAGCTCAAATGAATGTGCTGGTTTACATTTAGTTATAATTAAAGACAAACAAACGGATACTGTGCATGCAGGATGTCAAATGAATAGGATTCATTTTATTCTTCTAAGGTGGATGGGGGCGGGGGGGGAGAGATCAAAACAAAATGCGCCACATTAGCAATGCGTGTTTCTGTGTGTGTATGCCTGTGTATGTGCATGTTTGTATTTGCCTCTGTGTGTGTGTGGGTGGGTGTCTGCACTCGGTGTCACTAAGCATTCTTGTCAGAAATCTGACCTTTTACGCCATACATAATTAAGGAGGGACTTTTTGTTTATTTTCTTTAGCAGCTTGCCGAGTCAAAGCCAGTATAATTAGATCACCAATTACCATTTAATTAATTTCAGTCCTGAAGTCTCATTTTGTCTAGGCACTGGAGTGAGCCCAAATGGTGAGGCAAACAAAGGCAAGGCTATTACCAGCCTGTCTGGCCTATTGTTGAAGCCTCTCTGTGTTTATTGCCAGGGAATATGGATGAAACATGAAACAAAGCCTGCTAATCCACAGGAAGAGAAGTCAACACCGCAGCCCCTTTCTATTGATAGCATTGTGTCAGAAACACGCGAACCCAAGTGTGATTTATTTTGCTCATGATTTAGAATAACACGTTTTCTGCTACTGTTGGTGAGGATGTACTCTACATTTGTGCATCCCAGCAGTAATCCAAATTATTTTGGCAGACTCTGCCAAAAAGCCACAGTTCAGGCTCCACAACATAAATAGACATTGTGAGGACTTGGACACATGTCTGTTAAAGTGGGGGAATAAGAAAACACAAATGTCAACTCATTTTGGTAAGAGCAGTTTGAGACTTAATAAGGTCCTTTTTTGTAGAATTTGTAAAATTGTAAATTAATGATAAATAATAAAAAGTAAAAAAATACCAAGACAGTGTCATGTCAACCCTGATTTTTGGGGAAACCAATCTATATTATACCTATTGATAATCGGTGGTTGACAGGATGTGCGTCAGATATGTGTTCCCTTTCACCTACCGTCAAAGTTCCTGGACATTATCAGCAGAAATCAGACAATGTCTCACTTTTTCTAGCTCTCCATTTCTCTTACTGTATTTTCTCGTCTTTCTTTTTCTCACAGTCTGAAGTCATGTTTAATTTGGAAACTGGCCTCCTTCGGCAAATTAGCAATTAGAACAATTTTGTTTGAATATGTATCTGTGTCATTAGTTTTCCTGCCAATTAATAGCTGGAGCAGAGGGTCAGGCTAGAATTTTCCACTTGACTGCTGCTCCAGTATGGAGGCTTGGCACTTGCTCAGAGCCGCTCACAGCTGCTAGAAGCCATGCTATACCTTTGGAGCACTTGCCATAATTAGTTTACCTTGTAGCCGTTATTACTTAAACCCCTCCTCCTTAGCCCACCCAACCCATCCATACATGCAGGCCTCAGTGGTAAAACCAAATATTCTCTACATAAGGCTGTCCATGAAAACACTGTGAGGCCATCTTTACCGTGGCCATCGTGGCCCTGATGATGGAGGTCAGTCAGATACAGTAGTTAATCATCAGATCACCACCATAAGCAGCTCCTAATTAGAGTCCTCACAATACAATTTCAGCTTGTAATTAGCCCAGATTGGCTTCTTCCTCTGGCTGCCTTATTAGCGGGGCTACTCAGCGGTAGGTGAGAATCTCATGTCATTTTTCAGAGCTGTTCAGGCCGCTCATCTTCCCTTCTCTATACTCCACCCTGAGTAGTTACCATGCTGCGGACCCACAGTCGGGGGTGGTGGTGGGGGCGGGGGTGGTGTTGTCCAAACGGGACAAGAGGGACAAAAGATTTAACAAAAGCGATAAAAGAGAACGCTGTGAACACCGCCTGACACGGCAGCAAGAGAGTGGGAGGGAGGAGAGAGCAGAGCGTGAAGAGTAAAGGAGGTGGAGGAGCGGGGCTCCAGGGTTGTTTTCCAAACATTTAGCAAACGTTCATGGATCATCTCAGGGCCCGCCTGCAATTAGAGAGGAGATATGCATAGTCAATGAGGCATCGGAGACATAGGGGTAATTAGAGGACTAACTGTGCTCCTGTCTGTGTTTCTCTGTTTGGTCTTTCTCTCCTTAGCTCAACCTAGTGTCCAACGTCACATTGTCCAAATCAGCCCCTGAGGCCTCTCCCCCTCTGAGCCTGCCGCAGACCCCCACCACACCCACAGCGCCCCTCACACCCTGTCCCAGACCCACTCCGTCATTACCGCCAACAGCCTCCACAGCGTGGGCCCCATGCGACGGCGCTACTCAGAAAAGTACAACATGCCCATCTCTCCAGGTACGGCAGGATAAACACACATACTCACATGTACAAATAAATCCACGGACCTGCATGCTCATCCGCCCTGCTCAATAACTGACACGCAATCCATACACACTGTATCTGTATATACACACAACCATGTAATCATGCTGTAATTTGTGTTATCAGCCACTGAAAGGACATAACTGTTGACACCTGATCATTTTATTCATATTGACACACTTTGTGTTTGTTCCCTGTGTGTAGATCTCAGTCAGAACAAAGAGTTTTACATGAATGCAGATGTCAGGCCGCCGTTTACGTACGCCTCACTAATAAGACAGGTAAGGACACTGCTTGTTCTTTGTAATCTGTCTATATTTGAAAAATTGGGCCTCTAACATCCTACACCCTGCATTGCAGGATTTACGGCGGGTATCCACTCAGCTATTTAGAAGTTCAGATTTGTTCCATTTATTTCTCTGTTCCTTCCTTGTTAAGTTTTGAATACAATTTAGAAAGGGGAGCAGATTAACCATCTTCCAATGAGTGCAAGGAGGGTATGGGATTCAAAAAACAGCCACATATGACAATTGCATTTGATTAAGCATTTCAGTGGCTCTGATTATTACCAAATTCATTTCACACAACAGTAGGGATGAACCTGTTTTAAGATGGCCAGTCAATTATAGCTCGGCTGCAGTAATCTGGGATCTCAGGAATTAATCTGAGCCGGCCATAATTGCTGCCCTGTAATCTGCCTGAGAAATGTTTTCGCTTGTCCTTCATTTACACCCACAAAAGAAAATATATTCAAGTCTGCCATTTTGAATGAAAGTGCACAAGACTTTTTATAAACAGTGGAAGCAGTACACTTTACATAGACAGTTTCTTTGCTGTTTTTTCCGAGAGAGAACACACACAAACCTTCATGCCTCTTGTGAATTATTGATCACTCTGTGAAGGGAGCAAAATTGTAAATGTTTGTTTCTGTCACTGTTCCTCATCCAGGCAATCCTTGAATCTCCAGAAAAGCAGCTAACACTAAACGAAATCTACAACTGGTTCACACGAATGTTTGCATATTTCAGGCGCAACGCAGCGACGTGGAAGGTAATTTTGCTGTTCCTCCTAACATTTTTTAACCAGATACAAACATTGTGTTAATGTTTGGGGGTGGGGGGGGAGGGTAAATGATAGCCAGGCACAAAACCTTTATAAATGAGCCACTACCTAAACAAAAAACAATACTCTACTTATTCTGTCCAAATGAACCACCTTTTAAACAAACATATGAACCACATAGAAAAACCAAGGATAGGAATATGTGCATTCTTGCAGGAAAAAAAGAGGGGAAAAAGAGCAAGAGAGAGAAGAAAAATGAAAAACCTTCCTGTAATATGTGGGGATGTTCTGGTGGTGGGTGGCATTAGTTTAGCATAGCAGCGCTCTGCCAGTGACTCCTGGCTGAGCCCCTCACACTCACTTCAGAAGGGAACACACTGTTTTCCACCAGGCCACACACACACACACACACACACACACACACTTAATGAAAACAAAACTACAATCTAAAAACAAAAAATACATAAATGACTGGAGAGAGATTTGAATGAGAAAGACAGTGATGAAGCACTGAAAGCCTTAGCTGATCTGCCACATGCAGCTGAATGACACCTAACACACACACACACACACACACACACACACACACGCTACCGCCAGCCTGCTCCACCCCTGTCCTCCATCAGCTCCCACACTTAATGACACATTGGTGTTATAAACACTGGATTCTACAACTCTCTCTCTCACTCAGCATAGCTCCTGGAATAACAAAGGGATGATATATGCAGGTCTACTTTCATGCCTAAATGATTTGTATTGGACTCTGGATTTAGGTTTTAATAGCTGTTTTTCTCACATTTTAATGGGAAGTGCCACATGACAATGACCAGAACCTTTTCTGGCCAGTGAAATTTTGTGAATAAAATCTTAGGTTTCTATATGTCACTCAATTCATTTGTACTGACTTACCAGAAAAGGCGGCGTTGTGAATGATAACTCTATTGCCATGGAAACCCAAGAAATATGAATGTGTTGTTTAAGTCATTTGAAACTTCAGGACGTCTTACTGCCAATAACATTCTGGTTTATTTATTGTTTTCATTCAGGTTTCATCCCGTGCCTGTCAAAATATTCCTTCTTTGAAATGATATTTTTCCCATGCGGTGAAGTTTACTGCCCTGAAAGCAATCTTTTCTTTCTCTCTTTGTTTTTACATCAACTGCAGAATGCAGTCCGGCATAATCTTAGTCTTCACAAGTGTTTTGTGCGGGTAGAAAACGTAAAAGGGGCTGTGTGGACAGTCGACGAACTTGAGTTCCAAAAGAGACGGCCTCAAAAGATCAGTGGGTAGGTTTGTCCTTTTCAGCCCTGACTAGCGTCTGTCTCAGCGTTTACCGATGGGAAGACACCGCTGCTGCTACTGCTGCTTCATCTCATTGTCTGCGTGCCATAACGTCCAAAGTCCCCTCTTGCTTTGGTGTGCCTTCCCTTCGTGCTTTCAGCAGCCTTTTGGTGATGCCTCATAACCCACAATGGCTTTTTTTCATTTTGATCCTCACCCTCTCCCCTCCTCCCTGTGTCTGTGTGTGTGTCCGTCCTCTGTCCGTCCCGTCGATCACTGCATCTGCATCTGGCTGTCCCCCCGCTGGTTTGCTTTCCCAGGGTGCCATTCGCACCAACCTTTCCCTGCATAAGTGCTTTGTGAGAGTAGAGGATGAGTTTGGGTCCTTTTGGACTGTTGATGATGAGGAGTTTAAGCGTGGCCGCCACATTCAGCGAGGTCGCCCTCGGAAAAACGCCGCTGATGAGAACTTTGACGAGCTGCTTGTACAGTAAGCACTTCCGCCTGCCCTGCAAACCCCAGAGGCCCAGCCCCACCTGCATGCTCTACTCTCAGTGTTGTCATCATGCGCTTTGTGTTTAGCTCTCCATCCATTATGCTTTCACAAGGTCTGCTTCCATCAACCTATTCTTTCTTCCCATGAAATGCAAAGTTGTTCAAGATAGTTGTGTGGTATTGTCAAGTGATTGAACATCTTAGAACTATAGCCTTAATATCCACATTACTACGCCAGTAAATGTATTTAGTTCTTATACAAAGTGCATTGATTTCTTTTTATGAAATAAGATACTGTGGCTGAGGAATGCATGCTAGGTGAGACATGAGTCTGTGGTTGTAATTAAATTTTTCTGTTTGCAGAAGTCCGGCCTTAGTGAAGAACATTCAGACCAGCTTGGGCTATGGTCCGACCCTCTCTGCTGCCTTCCAGGTAAAAATAAAAAGTGACTTCTTCTTTAGCTGCCTCGCTTAGAACTTTAAAAGACAGTAAAGAATAAAAGTCTCTCTCCATCTCCATCCATATGCCCAGTCACCTAGGGATGTACTGGTATGAAAAGAGTGATGGGCAACTGCGAAAGTGCTGACAACTCTCTTGCGTTTCATATTTAATGCCTCGGGCTTTGCTTTTCAGGCTTCAATGGCAGAAAACAACATACCTCTATACACTACTGCTTCCATTGGAAGTCCCACCCTCAACTCCCTGGCCAACGCCATCCGTGAGGAGATGAATGGAGCGATGGACCATGGAAACAGCAACGGCAGTGACAGCAGCCCGGGACGCTCGCCCCTGCCAGCTATGTGAGTGGCGCACACGCTTTCTATCTCCACCACAGTCTGTGTAAGAAAAGAGAAGAGAGGAGAAGATATTCAGCTGCTTACTCCTCTGAGACAGCAACACTCTAAACAGATTTAGACAGAAAATGGTTTCAGTGCCCACCCAAAATGCTCTAAACTGGCCTAATACGTGGCATTAGATGAAACAGAAACAATGCCGGAGAGGACAATAAATAAAGTGAAGAGGGATGATATTGGAGTGGTGTCAGGGGTCACAGCCAGAGCTGTGGCTGGCTTCCCTGCAGAAAAGGAAACTCCACCTTTTCAAAAGAAGAAAAGCCCGGAGCCCCTCTGTTATTTTAACAGCTAGTTTATGAATTCTCCTTTATGTGTCCTGCTGTCTGTCTGAGGCCTGCCATCATCAGCATTCCAATTTGTTAAAATATTTACAAAATGCCAGAACACAGAATGACAGGGCTGTTGGCTCCGACACGGTGAAACATGAGCTGCAACACCTTCACAAACGCCTCTGAGCCGCTGAAAGAAATACAACACAAAAGCATAATTAGTCTGGAGGACATCATCCAAGATTCTCATGTAGGAAAGTTGCGGTTGGCCTGGAAACCGCAGCTCCCCGTTCACTTGTTGTATAGGAGTGTCTGCTAAGTTGTTTGAAGCCTAAAATAATACAGCATACGCTGCATCGTTTCCAGATGTGTGGGCAGACCACCGATGTGCAGCGTGGGTAGACTCGGGGATGGCCTCCTGAAATGTCTGAGCTGGGGGGAAATTCTGCCTGAAAACAAAAAAGGTGCAGTAATGAGCTCCTGGCCAAATGGAGGAAAGTGCCATCCCTAATCACTGTGAACATAGCTCTGAGCATGGCTGTGGAACAGGAAAGGCAGAGACAGGATGGGTGTGCTGGCCTAAAGGCAGCCTGCTTCTCCCTCTGCCCCTCTGCTTCTATCTTTAGGCTGACGGAGCTCACAAACTCTTTCTCCATAATTATGTCTATAAGCTCTATTCAAGCACAAAATGAGCTAAATCTGTTTTCTTTTGCTTTTAAAGAACTTTATCCTCTTATTAACAAAACATACCCGTGTTTCATGCCTACAGATTGAGCATTAAACGTTATATACAGTAGCACCAGCACTGGAACATTTTTTTTTAGTATTGTGCTTTGGCATTATTGTTATAAAACTTTATTTTTTTTACTATGGTGCGTTGGCAAACACTGTTCTAACTACGAGTTCATCACCACTGTTAACTATGTTACAACATGTGTTTTCCACATGTGCCAGCGTGCTGCCGGTTGACAGGCCCCAGCTTTTTTAACACTGCGAGGAAACCAGAGCACTTCTCTTAAACAGCCAGACGAGAATATCCAGAGACATCTAATTATAAGCAAAGTTGTAGAATCAGCATGCAGTTCAATAGCATAATAATAACAATTTCATGTCTGCCCTGCAGCCACAGAGTCAGACCCGAGGCAACGGCACTTGTGGAGTTACTTTGATGTGAAAATGATAGAAAAGCTGACTTTACTTTTTCCCCTTTTTATTATTCACACAAAAATATGTCAGCTCATTAGCATTTGAGTATCTCCATCACAATAGTTGCAAATCACACAAGACATCCTGGTGTGAATAAATCAAATGTGGGCTTTGGTGATGAAGAATGTGCTAGCTGTCCCTTGTTGTTGTAGTAAATGAGCCCGGTGCCTCATCCTGACACCGCTCCACCTTCACTACAGCAGCCTGGCACCGCAGGTTAGAGCGGCAAGTCCCCTGCAGCTGCTCATAATGTTTTTTCTTTTTTTTTTCTTTTTCCCCCCTCCTTGCTGCCACAGCCAGGCCTTCTCTCCCCCTGCGCTTTATTCCTGCTCTGTTTCTGTAATGAGAAATTTGGCAGATCTCATCTCTTTAGTGGCTCTTTTGCCCAGGCTGTGAGCTGGGGGGGCTCATGTTTTTGCCTTGTTTACAAGTGACAGCGTTATTATTCTCATAAGGGCTCTGTTTCTTATCACAGTGTTGTGCAGAGTGCGCCGCTGCTGCTCTCCTTGCGCGCCTTTCCTGCCAGCGCTTTTCTTCCCTTATTGACACTTGGTTGAAAATATGCATTAATTCTGGAGTTTAAAGCATGTACGGCGGTGTCTGGTCGCTGTGTTTGCTTGAAGTTGATTAATGATAGAAGCCGGCTCGGGGTCGTCCTCTGGAGACCCGCCTCGCAGGTTGTGCATGTTAACGAGCAGGAAGGGGAACACACAGCGCGCCGCTGATCCTCCGCCACCAGGAGGCTGACAACGGCAGCCCACTCGCTCAGCACAGTCCATTCTCTCCTCTCCTCGCCTCACGTTGTTAATCTTCCTCATTTATCAATTCTAAGTGAATACCCTGTTGTCGGTTGCCATGAAAATAAAAAGCCTGCAGCTTCTCCGGGATTGGAATACCTCAAAAGAAAGCTGAAATTATCATCAGCACCAGTGAGGCCCCCTCTCACAGTCTCATTGAAGCCAGACATTTGTTTTTGTTCCCCTGTTTCCTTCTTTATAAACAGAATCAGCACAGGTCTGTTTCGTTATGTGACTTCCATCTGCCAAAGGTTATTAAAAGGATTTAAGAAAGTAAAGGATAGCAGAACTGAGGCTGCATTTTTACTCTCTCCTCCTCCTCCTCCTCCTCCTCCTCCTCCTGCAGGCATCACATCAGCGTTAAGGAGGAACCACTGGACCCCGAAGACCACGAAGGGCCCCTCTCCCTGGTAACGACTGCCAATCACAGTCCGGATTTCGATCACCACAGAGATTACGATGACGACCAGGGCCACGACGACATGCTGTAAGGCTAGCGCCGCCCCTCCCCAGCCTCAGCGGCAGAGGCAGTCTGGGTCATCTGGGAGACAGAAACGCTCCGCAGATAACAAACACTGAACTGCAGTCTCAGCCACTGATGACAGCTCTCAAATGTCTCAAAGTTAACTTTTTAGTGCCATTACAATACATAGCAAGAACACACACACAAAAAAACACAGAATACATGAGGGATTTTTTTTTCTGATTGCTTTCTACTTTTGATTTAAGTAAAGCTTAAAAAGCGAACACAAACTTCATTTCTATGCCTCATGTGTCGGATGGAATTGTTTGGTACGGGGCCGACATGTTCGTGGTCAGAGACCCTCGCCGCGCAGCCAGGACGGACTGCACTCAGCAGACTGCAAGAGGGGCTGTGTCTCTCCCCCACCCACCCCCCCTCCACTCTCTCTCTCTCCCTCTCTCAGACACACACGTCTGACCACAGACTCACAAGAGAGAGAGAATGACTGGCGTTTAATTTACATCGTGTGTGTGTGTGTGTGTGTGTGTGTGTGTGTGTGTGAGAGAGAGAGCGAGTGTGGACTTCTGTTCATTGTCACTGCCTTCAACACTTCTCATTGGTTTGATTCCATTTGGGGTGGGAGGGATGTTGCTTTTATTTCGGTGTCTTTTTTGTTGGGGGTTGAGAGGTAATAGAATATCAACATGTGTCTTTTCCATTCAGTGCTGTTATTGATGTTGCATCGTTTTCTCTTTTTTTTTGTTTCTGATCAGACCTCATGCCCATGCTGTGGAGATTCGGTGTTGTCAGCACATGATGATGAATGTTTATGATTTCCTTTCATGTTGTTCTTTTAAACACATACATGAAGCAGAATGTCAGATACCAAGTAGTATTTTTCTGTCATTTATTCCACGATCTTAAAAAAAAAAAAAGAAAGTCACCACTCTGAAATGTAGCCCGCCACTCATCCCCTCCTTCCTCTTCCTCCTCCTCCTCCTCCTCCTGCTCATGAAGTCCATTGGCAATGCACTACTCATAATGAAGGCTCTCTCCACGCATCAATGAAGTTTAATTTAAGATGTGAATGAATGACAGAGAAATCATGCAGGTTATGATTTATCCTTATGAAATTATACTTTAAAACAGCCCCTCACGGCAGAGCATGTTGAGCTGCAACAGAATTTCTGATCACTTACAAAGGTTTTATAAAGCAAAATGAAAATGTCAGGTGTGCACCGGCGAGATAATGATTTAGACCAACTAATTGTGATTCCTGAACACAACTGTCATTGTTAATCAAACGTGTCTGCTTTTCCACACTGTAATTCCATTCAGTGCAGTGAAGATAAACGTGCATTCCCTGTAGTTTTATTTGTATCACGCGCATGACTAGTTTTAAGTTTTAGTGAGTGTTAATAATTGCACAGCGGATGAAATGCTTATTTTCTTTCATCGAGGGAAAAAATCCCAGGACTTGCAATAAGACCTAAACATTGCACATTCCAGCATTTGACAGCCATCATAAAGGGCCCAAATATATAGTACATGTCATTTAGGGAATGTGGATACCTCGACGTTCAGTGTCACCCAAAAAGCCGAAGTCCACAACATTGAACCGAGTGGAATCCACATGCAGCAACAAAAATTCCAGCTTTGGTAGGGAGTTACATTTTAAAGAAACCATGCATTTTCAAGACTGCAATCAACCACTTTTAATTTTGTATTTATTATTATTTTATGTTTTATTTGGCTTTTGTTTTAGTTGTCGATGTTGATGTTTTAATATCTTGTTCTGTGACTACCAAAGATAAACTACAAAGTCAATGTTGTGTGTTCCATGCAATAGCAGATAAGGCCAAATATCTCTCCTCCATTCTCTCCCATTGGACGATCTCAGCAGCTGCGATCAAGCTGGTGGCACATTGAATCGAGGGAAATGCTCCGCAAACTGGTGTTTTCATTAATTCTTCTAAAAAACCAAAGGGGTGTCTTGAACAGGACAGCTGCAGTAATGTTTGCAGTGACCAAAACTGAATGGGAGGCGCTGAGAGTCTGACTACATGATGACCAAATTAGGGAAACTTTTTGTCTTTGGGCCAGTGAGTGGAAAAGGGAGCTTTTTGGTCAGGAGCAGATTTGTGTACAACATAAAGGGTATGTAGAGAATTTAAATGTATACTGGTAAATGGGAAAAGCTTTGCAGAGAACAATGTGAAACGGATTCTATACTTCAACTGGACCACACAATGATTCAATGTTTCTCTTCTTTTATTCCTTATTCGTTTGTATCCTTTGAAATGATTGTATGCCACTTTTTAGGGGTTTGAGCGTCTTTGTTAAGATTGGCAAGACGTCATGATTGTGTTTAGTTTCTGTCAACGTATTACTTTTTATATTAAAAAACACTCCTGTCAACTAATAAGCTGGGTACAAGGTACTTTATGGCAGTTATTGTTATTATTATTCTATTTTTTAAGTTCACTGCTCATTAACTAAAAAGGAGAATCTGTGGTTTCCAGAAGATGTATTTAATATCCAGGCAGCTGTGGGATGGGTCAGTTACAGCCAGGCTAGGATCGTGAGAACAGGGCCGAGCTCATCCACAAACCCCCAGTCATCTTGGCTGGTTTGTTTGGTATTCAAAAAGGAGGAGAAGCGCTGGTAGATTAGAACATTCTCAGCATGTGTAGCTTGACATTACTAAAGATAACAGCATGAGAAAACCGTTTGTACGCATACCTCAGTTCAAACCTGTAGGGAATGATTCAATGAAATGAGGAAAAAAAAAATAAACAAACATTTCACTCAGTTGCACTTAGTTGTATGTCTTGCATGTTTAGTCTGATACTGTAGAGAGAAAATTACACACAGAAAAAGAAAATGAGATTAGAACTTGTTTATCTTTAAGGTTTCATCCTTTCTTTTGCCAAACCAATCTGAACCTCAGGCCTTTTGTTCATTGAAATATCACCCAGCTGTGCGTGGCACCATTCATCCTGTCACAGTCTTTTCTCTGATGTACTGATGGGTTGTTTTAAGGGCGTTCCAATATTAGGTTGTACATACATGTCAGTAGAGCCTTTGTCCTTTTCTGTCCTTTCCTCTCTCTCTCTCTCTCTCTTTTTTTTTAAGATCAAAAAATACATTTGTGTTATGATGTTTGCTTTATCGCGACTGCTTTGTATTAACTATGAAATAGCTATGAGAAAAACTGCTGTATGTATTGGAATAGCAAACTGTGCTGCAAATGTATTTTACTTAGTAATCCTTGCTTTAAAAAAAGAAAAAAAAAATCACATCATCCACACAGACATTTGGGTGAGCTGGGCAGGGGCAGGCTGGGGGGTGGGGGAGGGGGATTATCCCCGATTTTGGATTTTAAACTGTAATATAGAAAACAGACTTTTCTCTGTTATCATTGACCTAAGCATTTTGTACAGATTTTTTTCCCTCTTTGTGTTAATCTGTTTTTTGATACTTCCTTTTTGATGGTCCAACCACTGCCTTCTGTGGCTGTATGTTAAAGATTACTGCTCTGAGAAAAGGGCAGACAGGTATATTTCCTCTACAAGACGGAGATATCTTGCATGACTAATCCCAGGGTCTCAGAGATGGGGAGGGGAGGGGGGAAATATGGTTTAAGTGGTCAGTAATAATATAAGGGTGTATCAATCTAATGATATTTTATATGAAATAAATAGGAAAAAGAAAAAAAATAAGCAGTGCCAAGATGTAAAGAATATTGTTAAATGCTGTCTTTTTTTTTTTTGTTTGAAAAATTTATTTCATTCACGCATCGAAGATGTGTCCTTCTCATCCATGTCATGTAGGCAAACCACACATTTTGTTTGGCATCAAGATATTTATATTTTTTATCTCAAGGGTCGTTGTAAATGAGTCAAACCAAGGCACAGCAGGCAGATGAAAGGGTTAGACGCTGCTGGAGACTTAACGTCCTGCAAACTGCGGCCGTGTGACATCAGATCGCCCAACATCACACACTGGCACCCGAACTAAAACGCCATTGTTTCATTCATCACCAACCATCCAGCCCGCTGTCGTCCTTTCCCCCTCTTTCTCCCTCTCTTACACCACACTTTGTTTTTTTCCAGATGGAGGGGGGGGCTGTCATGGTGCTCTCATCCTGCAGCAGCTTTTCTTTCTCCTTCTCTTTCTTTTCTTTGAAGATGTACTCTGTAGTTTCTTTTTCCCCTGTGTTTTTTTTTTTTATAGAGAAATATTATTGCTCATCACTTCCATCAGTCTGTAACCTCCTCATCATTCCTCGTCTGTCTGATGCAGACCACTCTGTTGTAGTCAGTGGCGATGACTGACGAGCATTCTAAACATGCAATAAAATGCTGGTTGTTCAGATTGTTTCCCTCCGAGTCTCTCATTGTATCTCTTTGTGCAGTGTGGCAAACGGAGCTGCCCATTTTTACTGTATCAAATAAACTAAAGAAAGGTGTAATGCAGTATGCAGTAGTCATCTAAAGTTCGAATACATTTACAACTACTTTTTATTTTCACTTGCACATGGAAGAGACACTTTGTTTGCAGCATTTACATGGCAATGTACAGTCAACCAGTGCATCAAAAGTTTAGAGAATACATTTCTGACTGATACATACTAATATTACCAGATATATTGTCATGAATATGTTTTTTTCCTCAACAGTTTCATACAGACCTGAGTTTGTCATCTGCTGCAGGACTCTCATCTCAGCCTCAACGTTAAATTAGATCATAATTAAAAAGAGACAGTTAAACTGTCTTTTCTTAACAGCAATTTAGGTAACTGCATTTGATAAGCTATAAATTGGAACAGCATTAAAATTCCAGAAATAATAGCGATATGGATTTGGTGACGGGAGCTAATGCTGATGACCAAGACTTGGCTTTTTATGGTGGAGGCACAGGTCATGTTGGCCACTAAACAGGAGACAGAGATCAAGTCTAAGCACTTTTAATCTTGTGAAACAAGCAATTACAAATAGTTGCATTGATTTGTTAAAAAGCTTTAGGTGACATAAATCGTTTCTTGCTTAGCTTATTGCTGGAAAACATAAATGTCAAGTGTATTATTAATTAAGGCCTTTGAAAGACAAGATTTAATGGAAACAATATAAAATCACAAGCAATCTTTCTGTCGGCAGTATTTCACTGGATGGTCAGGATTCATGTATTTCCGTGTTGTTTTCATGACACTGATCACAAACTGGATCAGATGACATAAAGTTAGAGGGAACACACTAATGGGAGGTGTTTGTGTTTAAAAGTCATCCAGAGCACAAGCATTCACATAAGTGAATCTTACAGAGAGGCATTAACATATGATATTATTATAGACCATAAAGGTGGATGAAATATTATGGGAACAGTGGGTCTCTGTGGATATATCGCTGCAGTGACATGATCAGCCAATACAGGCCCTGTACACATAAATCTGAATATCCTTGCAGACCAACAACTCACCAGTCAAACTTAATACAAAATATAATATTTTGGTGCACTCAATCATTGTCACATTTAAAATATCCTGTAAATGAAACAAACCGGTCTTCAAATATGGTTCTAGTTTCTCTGATTTCGTTGAGGGTCACCTTATAAACATTACCTTACCTGTGGTGATATAGCCGTGCGGACAGTTTGGGCTTTATCTGCCCTGGTTTTCAAATATTCACCTCTGAGATTTCTGCCTCAAGTAGTGGTGGGAAATACCACAAAGTAATACCAGGGGCATAAATCACGGATATTTATACCAATTCAAGACTTAGTATCAGTAATATCAGTGCTTATACGTCAACCCCCAGCCTCAAGTTAAGGGAAATGTTTTAGTTGTGCTTTCTCTCTACATCCAGTTGTTATAGTAGCAGTTAACTTAATGTTGTGAACAATAATTAAAGAAATATGCCAATTTAAGAGTAGGTTTTTTTCTTTAAGTTGACATAGAACAACCTGTATGGCTGCATTGACTTCATCAGCGATTGATTTTTGTGGCAATTTTTTCGTTAGCAATGTGTCCCTGGGCAAGACACTTAACCCCTAGTTGCTCCAGAGCCGAGCGACCTCTGACATATATGGCAATTGTAAGTCGCTTTGTAGAACAACGTCAGCCGAGTCAATGTAAGTCAGATGTAAGTCATCATTCTTTAAAGCTTTGATTGGTCAATTGTTTCTCCAACTGGCAGAAACAGCCGTCAATGAGCTGAACATCAGACTTATTTGTATCACCTAACTAATCGGAGATGTGGGTGGTGATATTATGAAAAGCCCATTTTCACCAATAAATTTTTTTTTAAATGTGAAAAGTTAGGCATGATAAAAAATTTAAATACTCTGTAACGTAACTGGATAGTTTTGACTTGGACAATTTGGACCCAGTAGGTCCTCATTTTAACCAACCAAGAATTTATTTTATTTTATTAATATTTTATATATATATTATCATGTTTAGTATGTTTTTTTTCTATTCCTGACAGATAGGGGCTTCCATATAATTGAAAGGGTTGGAACCACGCCTTTTATTGAGTACTGTGGGCACCACGAAAGAAGTTCCACTCACCTCCATTATGTAAAGGTAGAGGCAGAAATTACTAGTAGATACTGCTTTAAGTAAGTGAGAAAATGTGTCTTTTGTGTGAGCTGACCCTATTGCTATAACAGATCCCCAGTCATAGATAGTATTTAGCTCTGTTAGATTGCAGAAACAAACGTGGATGGCTGCTGTTCACTTCATTCTAATTAAAGCGTGGCGCAGCCTCATCCATTCGCACAAGAGCTTCAGTCAAATAGTCAAAGCTGGCAAACTCCCAACATTGCAGTGAGGCAATTAGCAGTCCTGCAGTGTTTGTTATTCATGGTTTGATGTAAAAATTTGTTTATTAAGATGGGCTGCAGGCGCTGGTGTGCAATAGACCTGCTTGTAATTAGATTCCAATTATTTGTCTGTTTCTGATATTGTAAACTGGCACTTACCACATCAGTTAAATTGACACACTGCACTGCTTGGTTTACTCTGTAATTAAAATGTGTTCTGTTAATTAGATGATGACCACTTTATTCCAGGGCTCTTGTGTTTGGGCTCCTCGGCGGCTCGCTGTTTGGATCATGAGTTGCCAGACGCTTCCCTAATCAGCCCTTGTTTTGTTTCAATTACCACCTGCTGTTCAAAAGGCATGCCTCGCTGCCCCCCACCCCTGCATACACACACGCACACACACACATACAGGCACACATATTAAACAATACCGTGAGGCCTGCTTCACTACCAGCTCCTTCTCCAATACAACAATCAGTAATTCACAGCTGGACCTGCTTTCTTCTTTATTAAAAGGTACAGCTAGGTTTGAAAGAGAGTCCAAGCAATTAAAAAGGGAACTAAAGGAAGATGAAAGTATAAAGGTACTTATCACATCAGTTAGCAGGCCTCATGTGAGTAGCCAATGGTAATTACGCTCATTGAGTAAATAGCTGAGATGCTTGGATGTCTCCTTCTCTTGGTAACAGAGGGTTTAAGGGTGGGGAAGCTGTTGGATCCACTGATGGGTTCACTAACCGGAGATGAATCTGATTGTGGATGTACTTACTGTTGGTTAAAGATACACTCGTCAATGTTGTTATAGCAACCCAAATCCCCCAACAGTTTCAGCTGTTTTGTGTTGCATTGCAATGTCTTTGAACAGTCAGGACCACTTTAGTGAAGTTTTCCGTCAAGTACAAAGTTTATTAAATTTTGACAAATCCCGAGCTCCATTTTTGCCCAAAAGCAATTAAAAACACATCACCGAGCCACACCGCTGCACTGTTTGCAATCCCACATGCTGATACATGCTGATTGGGTAATTATATATATAAGATATGCGCCACAGACAGTATTGAGAGCTGGACTATTATTATCCTTTAAAGAGTTTTGTTAAGAGATGTAGATCACTCTATCCAAATGGACATACTGCAGCATAGAAAACTCCCTACAGATAAAATCCTTTGGATTTGGAGAGAAGAGACCTCTTTAAAAAAAATATTTTTAGATGAAAATCGAGTCAACAAGGCTTTAGTCACTATCAGTACATAATGCACTGTATCATCACTTTTAACCTGACGATGTGGAGCAGGTGTGGAGTGCAGAGCCTCAGGTTGATCCTAATCCTCTGTAAACAAAATAACTCCCATGATGAACTGCACAGTAGCACTCACTCTTTGACCTGTACTTGCTTGCCAGCAACCAGCATTACTATAAGTAAAAAAAAAAAAAAAGTAAATATGTTCTGTTTGAATAATTGAAGAGATGCAAAATAACATGAATAATTACGTCTCGCTCTCGCACTTTGTGTCATAGTGAATTAGCAGAGAAGTGGCTGCTGCTGGGACGATTTTTAGGAGGGAAGATTGATTTCAGATTGATCAGGTGAGGAGAAAAGTGTGTTACCAAAAACAAGGTGCTGATTTTGTGTTTCACACAACTTACAAGTCATGGTGGAGTTAATGTTGCAAGACAGAAAAATGTTTTTATGAAGATGGATATGTATTTTTGGAATACTTACACTGACGGAATTACAGTAGGATGTATTTAAAGGAATAGTTTGACATTTAGAAAAACAGACTTTTTCTGTTTGTTGCTGAGAGTTAGATGAGAAGATTGATACCACTCACATGTCTCTGTGCTAAATGTGTAGCTACAACCGGCAGCAGATTAGTATTAGCTTAGCGGTGTCTTTGGACAAAGCCAAGCTAGCTGTTACCCCCTGTTTCTAGCCTTTGTGCTAAACTAAGCTAACTGGCTTAATTTAGTATACAGACATAAGAGTAGTATTGATCTTTGTATTTGCCTCTCGGAAAGGAAGCAAATATATGTATTTCCCAAAATGTCAAACTATTCCTTTGGAACAAACTGAAACAAACTATTACACTATTTAATGTAATAATAACACCAAAGCTTTGTGGCAAATCCAACTGTCAGACCACCTACAACCATATGCTTAAATACAGGTGGTGGTCATAAATGATCTACAACCACGTAAACCACATTTTTCTTTAAGCTTTCGTTTTATTTTTGATTTAGAAGCATCACTCATGTGGAAATTTAAATTGTAGTTTTGTGGTTCCCTGACAGGGTTGGTTAAAAGGAAGTGCATTCTTGTAAACTGTAGATAGCCAACAGTCTGAATTTCTATTCACTTCTCTCCTGGTCTGATTCCTACATAGACTTACTGCCCTTCCCTGTGAATTTAATGCCCCCACCCCACCTTTCAGAAAAAGCTATCATTTAAACATGTCATGGGTAGTGTTTACCTGCAGTGAACCTTGATTGAGAAAGCCTGTGACTTTACACTGATGCCCTCCTAATCTGTATGATTGGCATGCTAATTTCTCTGA